ACAATGTAATCACCTCTGTGATGAGATCTGACACAATGTAATCACCTCTGTGATGAGATCTGATACAATGTAATCACCTCTGTGATGAGATCTGATATAATGTAATCACCTCGGTGATGAGATCTGATACAATGTAATCACCTCGGTGATGAGATCTGATACAATGTAATCGCCTCTGTGATGAGATCTGATATAATGTAATCACCTCGGTGATGAGATTTGATACAATGTAATCACCTCAGTGATGAGATTTGATACAATATAATCACTTCTGTGATGAGATCTGCTATGAGCAGCCAATCAATTGAAAGGGCATTTCCTCAAAGGGTGTGGCTTGCATCCAGCACATATGTGCATTCTGGCAAAGCCCTCTGGCTTGTTGCTCAATCTGAGTGAACTGTCACATTGCCTGGTGCTGTTGGGATTCTTTAGCCTCCGTAGCACGTGAACCAGCAGCCTGCCATCTGACCTGCCAATCTTGGATTTATCCACCTCCCCAGGCAGCAGCCTGCTGCTGACCTGCTGATTTTGGCTTTATCAGACCCTGCAGCTATGTGATGCCAGGAGAAGCCTCCAATCTGACACCTTACCCATGAACTTTGGACTTGCCAGTCTCTACAACCACAGGCCACCACTTGTATGTCAGTCTGTCATACTGTGGTGGCTTCCATGATGCTGTGATACTGTGAGCAATGTTACTGACATTTTAAATTCTAGCAGGGTATGCCCAGATTTCAGCAGCGCTTCCAGACTAAGACAGGCTAGGAAGAAGGAGAGGCAGACGACTTCTGAAAACCTTATGAATTTCAGAGGACCATTGTCAGGTGCACTGCCAGAAGGTGAGCCACTCAGGTTGGAAGGCTCTCAGAATGCAACAGGGAAGAGCTCCCTCATTGCGGGACTTTCTTTTCTGATTGGGTGCTATTCAAAATGAGGAGAAACTGCTGAAAATATTCATTAATAATCAGAACATGGAATGTATGAAGTATAAATCTAGGAAAATTAGAAGTTATCAGAAATGATAATAAGGATTACATAAAGATCAATATCCTAGGCATTAGTGAGCTGAAATGGACTGGTATTGGCCATTTTGAATCTGACATGGTTTATTCTGCCGGAAACAACAAATTCAAAAGCAATGGTATAGCATTCATCATCAAAAAGAACATTTTAAGATCTATCGTGAAGTACAATCCTGTCTGATAGAATTATATCCATACGCCTACAAGGAAGGCCAAGTGAATACCACGATTGATCAAATTTAGGCATCAACCATTAAAGCCACTGATGATGAAATTGAAAAATTCTACCATCTTCTTCAGTCTGAAATTCATCAAACGTGCCATCAAGATAGGTTGATAATTATTGATGATTAAAATCTGAAGGCTGCAAACGAAGAGGAAGGATCAGAAGCTGGAAATATGACATTTGGTGACAGAAATGATGCTGAAGATCACATGATAGGATTTTGCAAGACCAGTGACTTTCACTGCATATACTTTTTAAAAAACAACAGTAAAGGCAGCTATACAAATGGACCTCACCAGATGGAATATGCATGAAACAAACTGACTACATTTGTGGGAAGACATGGTGGCAAAACTCCCTATCATTGGTCAAAACAAGGCCAGGTAGACTGTGGAACAGACCATCAAGTGCTCATATGCAAGTTCACGATGTCACTGAAGAAAATTAAACAAGTTCACAGGAACCAAACTATGACCTTGAACATATACCACATGAATTTAGAGATCATCTGGAGAAGAGATTTGATGCATTAGACATTGATGACCAGAGACCAGAAGAACTGTGTGATGAAATTAAGAACATCATACAAAAAGAAAGCAAAAGGTCATTAAGACAAGAAAGAAAGAAAAGACAAACATGGATGTCAGAAACAACTCTGAAGCTTGCTCCACAGGGTAGAGATGCTAAAGAAAATGAAAGAAATTAGGATGTAAAAGAGCTGAACAGAAAATCTCAAAGGACAACTCCAGAAGACAAAGTGTTATAATGAAATGTGTAAGGACATGGAGTTAGAAAACCAAAAGGGAAGAACATGCTCAGCATTTTTCAAGCTGAAAGAACTAAGGAAAAAATTCTAGCCTCAACTTGCAATATAGCGTAGTGGCTACGAATCGGGCTGCGAACCTTAAGGTCAGCGGTTCGAAACTACCAGCCACTCCGCGGGAGAAAGATGAGGCTTTCTACTCCCGTAAAGATTTACACCCTCGGAAACCCTGTACAGGGTCGCTATGGGTCGGAACCGACTCGACGGCACTTAACAACAACAATGGGCAAAATATGGAATGATGCAGAAAGCATCAAAAGAAGATGACAAGGGAGTACTCAGTCATCGTACTATAAAGAAATGGTCAATGTTCAACCATTTCAAGAAGTATCACATGATCAAGAGCCAATGGTACTGAAGGAGGAAGTCTAAACTGTACTGAAGGCACCGGGGAAGCACAAGGCTCCAGGAATTGATGGAATACAGATTAAAATCTTTCAACAAACTGATAAAATGCTGGAGGTATTCATTCACTCATCTATGCCAAGAAATTTGGAAGACAGCTATCTGGCCAACTGATCAGAACGCCATATTTGTGCCCATTCCAAAGAGAGGTGACCCAGTGGCATGCTTCATCAAACAATATCATTAATATCACACGCATGAAAAATTCTGCTGAAGATAATTTAAAAATGATAGCAAGAGTACATCAACAGGGAACTGTCAGAAACTCAAGCCAGATTTAGAAGATGACGTGGATCTAGGGCTATCACTGCTGATGTCAGATGGATCTTGGCTGAAAGCAGAGAATACCAGAAAGATACCTGTGCTCTACTGACTATGCAAAGACTTTCAATTGTGTGGACCATGACAAGGTATGGAGATCATTGCAAAGAATGGGTATTCCAGAACACTTAGTTATGCTCACAAAGAATGTGTGCAGAGACGAAAAAAGAAACAATCATTCAAACAGAACAAGAGGACACTGAATGGTTTAAAATTAAGAAAGATGTGTGCCAGGGTTGTATTCTTTCACCATAGTTATCCAATCTGTACGCTGAGCAAATAATCTGAGAAACTGGATTATATGAAGAAGAACGTAGCATCAGGATTGGAGGAAGACTCATTAACAACATGTGATATGCAGATGATACAATCTTGCTTGCTGATGAAGATCAAAGACCACAGCCTTCAGAAAGGATTGCACCTCAATGTAAAGAAAACAAAAATTGGACCAATAAATGACATCATGATAAATGCATGAAAGCTTAAAGTCATCAAAGACTACATTTTGATTGGATCCACAATCAACACTCATGAAAACAGCAGTCAAGAAATCAAATGACGTGTTGTATTAGGCAAATCTGTGGCACGAGACCTCTTTAAAGAATTCAAGAGCAAACATATCAATCTGGGGACTATGGTGCACCTAACCCAAACCATGGTATTTTCAATGACCTCATGTGCATGTGACAGTCAGACAACGAATAAGGAAGACCATAGAAGAATTGATGCATTTGATCTAAGGTATTGGAGGAGAATACTGAAAGTCCCATGAACTACCAGAAGAACATACAAATCTGTGTTGGAAGAAGTGCAGCCAGAATGCTCCTTAGAAGCCAGGCTAACGAGACTTTGTCTCTCATACTTCAGGCATGTTTTTGGGAGAAGGACATCATGCTAGGTAAAGTGGAGGGTCAGCAAAAAAGAGGAAGACCCTCCCCCCTCAATGAGAGGGATTGGCACCATGGCAACTGAAACAGGCTCAAACATAACAATTGTGAGGATGGTACAGTCTGGGGCAGTGTTTAATTCTTTTGTGCATAGAGTCACTATGAGTCAGAACCGACTTGATGGCACCTAAGAACAACCACATCATCAACAACCAAATGAGCCATTTCCTTGAGATCAATTTCTGTATGTGTATATAAAAGCTTCACTGGTTTGCTTCTCTAGAGACCCCACCTGAGGCATTAGTTGCCTGTAATTCTGCTCTGATTCATGGAGAGAGATCGAAGGTACAACAAAGCGGAGCATCGTCAGGGCCTGCCCCATCAGCACCATCATTGGTAACTTTGAGTCCATTGTCTCCCCATTGTATCCATCCATCTCATGGACGGTGCAGCTACAAGTCATGGAATGTCTAGCTACAAGAAGCTCAAAGAGAGGCAGAGGATGGATGCTTCCTCAAAGCCTCAGAGGGAGCCAATGCTGACACCCTGATCAGGACCTCAGCACCTCCAGAAGTGTGGTGATAGGTTTCTGTTCTTAAGAGACATCCACTTTGCAGTGTTTTCTGTTACAACAGTGCTTAGGAGGCCCGGCCATAGGGCAGAGGTCAGGTGGTGTTCCTCCAAACCCCACCTCCTTGTACGCAGGAACTCGGCTCATGCCTGCCAAGGGCACATTCTTGGCCCCACTGCACAATTGGTGAAACTGAGACTGGGAGAGTTGGTCCCTGGCTGGTCACTGGACATGGTCATGGCTTCAAACCATTGCTTCTTTCATCTCCCCAAGAGAAGAAGGAGGAAGGAGGGGATTGGGGAGCAGGTGATGGATCCTAGCTCCAGGCATCATTCACACAAGTGAGGAGTCTGTTTTAGGAGTCACCTATACAGATGAAGGTCCCTAGTCCAAGGCATCACCTGCCCAGGTGAGGGGTCCCTAGTCCCAGGGGTCACCTGAACAGGTAAGGGGTCCGTAGCTCAAGGAAGAGGGGCAGATCAGGAGAGGGGAAAAAGACTAGGGCCTGGGGGTATCCTCAAGGGACCCTGCCCTTACATACCAGTGCAGACCAGCCCTGCGTCCTCATTGTGGTCACAGTTGCTCCGACCCCAGGGGCTTCGTGGACAGTCGCGGAGGGCCTGTTCTCCACCTCCACACCCGACATCATCCATCCACACGGGCCCTGAGCCTGGGCCAAATCGGGCACCTCCAGGGGCGGCCAGCGCTCCCCCACAGCCCAGCTCCCGACAGGCCACAGCAGCGTCCCTCAGGTCCCAGCCATCGTCACAAACTGTCCCCCAGCGCCCTGCGTGCCACACTTCCAGCCGGCCGGCGCAGGCATGGGGGCCTAAAGCCAGCCGCAGCCGATCTGGGAGACAGAGGGAATGGAGGGGGACAGTGAGGAGTCAGGAAGACTGAGGGACAGTGGGAGGTATGGGGGCAGTGGACCTAGGAACAGTGAGAGGTCTGGAGAGCAGTGAGGGACCAGGGGGACAGTAAGGGCCTTAGGGGGGACAGTGGGGAGCCTAGGGGCATGGTGGGAATCCTGGGGAGACCTGGCGAACACTGGGGGGCCTGCAAGGATAAGGAGAGGTATGAGGGGACAGGAAGGGATCATCTAGGGAGACAGGGGAGGTGTGGGGAACAGTGCGGAGCCAGGGGGCAGTGAGGGACTTCGGGGATAGTGAGGGGTCTGAAGAACAGTGGGGGGCCTGGGGACAGTGGGGACCTAGGGGGGACAGGGAGGGTCTTGGAGGGATAGTTAGGGACCTGGGGTGCTGGGAGGGGCCTATAGGGATAGGGAGAGGCCTGGGGGACCCCCTCATTCCTTATCTGGGGAAATTGAGACCCAGAGAAGGTAGTGAGTGGCTTGTCCGGTAGCAGGGTTGTGCACGGGACCTGCCCATTAAGGGGAGAAAGCAGGAGCGGGGCAGCAGGGGCAGGTGGCCAGGGGCTGGGCCTCAGATGCTTGGGCCACTGGCTCAGGAATAAATACTGGACAGGTGGCAGCATGAGTGGGAGCCAAGGCTGGACTTCCTGAACCCCCCCACCCCCACCCACCAAGGGCTTCAGAGGGCTGGGCCTGGGGTCTCCAGGGATTTGCTTGGGGATGGGGCTGAGGAGACTTACATTGGCGAGGAGCCCCCGTGCTCAGCACCGGGGCCCTGGTGGACTTGGCCTGCTTGGGTGGTCGGGGGTTCTTCTTCCGGGGGCCACCACTGTTCTGGGGGTTCCCTGCTGGGCGGGGAGCTAGATAGAGAAGAAGACAGACAGGAGGACAAAACCCAGACTTCCACCTGCCTGTGGGTAGGGGCTTCTTTGTCAGACTCAGGTAGAGTTGGAGGTCTTGACAGGAATGTGGGGGCTATTCTGAACGGGGACCAGACCCCCCCCCCCAGTGAGGCCAGGAGAGCCTGAGGCAGAGACTGGTTCCTAGGGCTCACCAGGTGTCGAAGAGGGCACCTCGGACCCTGGGCTGACCTCCCCAGACAACCCCCGCCACAGGTCCCCATCCACGAGGAAGGCTGACTGGTCCCTGGAGCTGGCTGACATGCGCTGGCCTACAGAGAGAACAGGAACTGTGAGTGGACGGTGCCCTGGACGGTGCCCTGGAAGTGGAGCAGGGCCTAGGACACCCCAAATCTGGTCCTCGGGGGCTATGCAGCTAGCACTCGTAAGGAGGGGGTCCCCAAGGGAGGTAGTGGCTTTTGAGGGTTAAAGGTCGGGCATCTGGACTCATGCATGGACCCTCAGACCTATCAGGTCTGAGGGCTTGGATTCCCAGTTCATCTTGGAAGGAACCTCCTCAAGTGAAGGACCAGGGACCCCTAACCTTCAAGGCCATCGTGGTCCAGGGACACCCCCTCCCCTCACCTGCACACACCACGCCTGCGTCCTCCTCGTGAGAGCAGATATGTGCCTTCCAGCCACGGTGAGGGCACAGGCCCAGCTGTCTCTCGCTGCCCCGACAGGCCAGCTCGCTAAGCCACACGGGTCCGGTGCCCTCCCCAAAGAAGGCTCCTCCAGGGGCGGCCAGCGCTCCCCCACAGCCCAGCTCCCGGCAGGCCACAGCGGCGTCCCTCAGGTCCCAGCCATCGTCACAAACCGTCCCCCAGCGCCCCGCGTGCCACACTTCCAGCCGGCCGGCGCAGGCGTGGGGGCCATCGGCCAGGCGCAGCCGCTCTGGGGATGGAGGAAAGGCTCTGACCCCGGGGAGCAGAACCCAGAGGTCCTGGGGAAGAATGAGGGCAAGGGGACAAGTGGGAGGCCAGCCGCTATAGGGGGGGAGGGGGGGAACCCAGACACTTGGACACTCAGGTGGGGGTTGTGGTTACCAGGAGGGCCAGACCGCGTAGGTCACACGGGGACAGCATGGCCAGGGTCGTGGTGGAGGCTGAGGCGAAGCCGCATGGGGCAGGCTGGGAGCTCGGGAGTGCTGGGGGGGGCACTTACCGACAGCCTGGGTCCCCATCAGAGCAGCTGCAGGAGGGGAGGGTTGACAGGTAGGACAGAGTGAGGGCAGGTCCCACCCAAGGGACATCCTTTCTGCATGATGGGCATATCCAACATACCACACACACACACAAGTCCTCACACTTTGGACCCCGAACCTCACTGTAGAGCCAAGCGAGGACCGGATCCTTTGTGTCTCCCTAGGGTCACATGGCTAACTGGTCCCCACCCCAGGGTCAGGGCCCAGGAGGGAGGAGAGACTGGACATTCCAGGAGAGAGACAGGCTTCTCCAGGGATTGCCGTCCCAGAAGTCAGAGTCCCTGCACTTGGTGAGGAAGGGATCAGAGGGCGAGGATGCAGGACCCCGAGTCTCCCAGGAGGACGAGCCACTCACCGAGGAGGCAGACCAGGACCCTCATGCTTGCAGAGTCTGGGGCTTGCCCAACGGAGTAAAAGGGGCGAGGAGGAGAAGGCAGCCCCGGGAGGGAAGTGCTTGTGGAGGAGAGAGCAGGCAGGGGCTGGACGCTTCTCCTCAAGGAGGCGGCAGGGGACAGCGGGGGCAGGGAGGGGGCTGGTCGGCGGCTGGGGTGTGGGGAGGAGGGGGGTGACTGGCTGGCTGCGGGGAGAGAGGGAGGGTGTCCAAACTGCAAACACCCACACGAGAATGGGTCAGGCTTGAGACCAAAGCCTCTACTGAACTTACAGAGCTGGGGTCCAGGCCGAGCCAGCAAGGAGGTGGCTACGAGGAGCACCCCACCCACCCACCCACTGCCTCCTCTCGTGCGTGCCCAGCCAGGACTGATGGCCAGACCCCCGTGGTGGAGGGGATGGAGGTTTGGGCTGGGTACATCTGGGGTTGGGTGCAGCAAGAGGGTTTGTAGCCAGACACCAGGAAGGACTTTCTGGTTAGGACAGAAGGCTGAGCAAGTCCCCTCCTCCCTGCCCCTCCCACCAGTAGGCTTGAATGTAAAGTTCTAACTTAGGAATCTGGAAGGAGGAATGATTAAGCTTAGGTGGCCCCAGTGGGTCATAAATGGGAAGGGGGGTCATGGGGAGATCTATCTGTCTTGGTCAAGGTTTGGGTGGGGGTACTGAGAACTACACACACACAACAGGATCACACACACACACTGACACATACTCTCTCACATGCATCCACACACATACACTCACACAATACGCATACATATTTACTCACACACATGTGCACCACACACACACACACACATTCACTCACACGCTTTCTCTCTGCACAAGGCAGCTGCGAGGTGGAAAAAATTCTGTAATGGGGCTCGTGAGTCAGAAGGGCTGGCAGAGGCCGGGGCCGCCATGAGCTCATCGCCTCCCCTCCTCCCCGTCTAGCTGCCCCCCAAACAATTCATGTCAACTTGGGGAAGAGAAGCCAGACAGATGGGGGCTGTCTGGAGATGGGCTGGAAAAGGCATCAGAAACAGAGGCGGGCACACAGCAGTTCGGACTTTATTAACAAACTAGTGTAAAAAACCAGATGGGCCTGGAAGGAGGAGTGGAGGGCATGCCATCTGGCCCACCGCTCTCAGCTCTTGACCTTTCCAAACCCCCACCCCCTCCCATCGCACCAGGCTCCCCGGCATGCAGACAGCCCTCCCCTGCCAAAGCTCCCCTCACCCCCATGGACCCTCCCAACCCATTCTGCAGCCCTGTCCCCTGCAACCACAGGCATCAAATCCCACCCCATGCTCAAGGAGCCCCCCACTGAAGGATGCCCAGGCTGCTAAGCCCCTCTCTTGGGAGCATTCTGCTCAGCCTCTGGCCCCCCCCCCCCAACATCTCTCCCAGGTTTGTAGCACAGATGGGAGGGGGAAGGTTTCCCAGTGCAGAAGGAATCTGAAACAGAGGGTTGGGCAAGCTGACCTTTGGTGGCCCCCAAGAGAGAGCCGGGAGGGGAGAAAGGGATTCTGCTTTGAGAAAGCCCAGCAGTGGACAGAGTGGAGCAGGCAGGCCGGGCACACAGTGGGTGCTCACTGCATGCTGATTTCCCACCCTGACTCAACTCTCCCAGGGCAGGGCAGAGGGCAGTCACAGGTCTTTGCTGAATTCCCGCACTAGCAAGTAGCCCATACAGCCCCAGCCTCCATCTGCCTGGTACCCACAACCCTCCAACATTCCTGCCACCCCCCAGGCAGCCACAGCCACCGGGACCACGAGACGGGCCCGTGGTTCACCCATGCCCCCTGCCCAGGCGCGGGCCCGAGCCTCAGCGAAGGCTAGCAGCCTCCTGCCCACACCGCGGCGGCGGTGCCACCGGGAAACAGAGAGGCGAGTGACCCGGGCCCCATCCCCTGCGTTTGTGCCAGGCGCCAGAGCCAGGACGCCACACACATCACCAGAGCCACGCACGGCCACCCAGGGCCCCCCCAGGCCACCAGGTGGAGGTAGCGAGCCCCACCTGGCCCTGAGGCCCAGTTTCACAGCAGCCACAGCCAGGAACACCGGCAGGAGGAGGGCCAATGCGAAGGAGGCCAACAGGAAGCGGAGGCCACTACTGGCTGCTGCTAGGAGGAGCAGGGCCGGGGGCCGCGTTAGGGCGTGCAGGGCCACTCGATTTTCTGTGTCCTTCACGCCGGCCTGTGGGCAGGAGGGTGACCGTGAGGGACAAGGGCTCCTCTGTCCATTACACCAGCACCTTGTGGGTACCAGGGACAAGGAACTGAGAAGGACAAATGGCATGATGGGAGGTCTCTGAGGGAAGGACAGGCCTAGCAGGGACCTTGTCTACATAGTCACCAGTGAGCAGGGTCTTCTGGCATGCTGGGTGTTGAGGGAATGGGGAGGAGGGGGAGTGAATGAACAAGTGAAGTAATGAATGAGTGAGTGAATGGATGAGTGAGCGAATGGATGGATGAATAAGTGAATGGATGGATGAGTAAATGTGGAAGAATTAATGTGTGAACCCAAGAGCAGATGGGTGGATACATATATTAGGAATCAATGATTGAGTGAACCCAAGAGCAGATGGGTGGATACATATATTAGGAATCAATGATTGAGTGAACGAATGAATGAACGAACCAGTGTGTGAATGTGAATGATTGGATGAATATTTGAAAATGAATGAATGGCTGATAATAAATGAATGAATGGATGGATAAATGAATGCATGAGTGAATGAATGCATGAAAGAGTATGAATGAATGATGCTTAGATGGAAGAATGACTGCATGAATAGAAAGGTGAATGAGTTTGTGAATGAATGAATGAATGCATGAATGAACGCGTACATGAGTTAGGAGCCATGGTGGCAACCACCTGAAGGGGGCGGACTGAGGGGACTAAGGCTTCAGAAGTGACACTGGAAGGGAGGGGAGAGGACAGACAACAGCTCCAGGCTGTGGTGGGCACGGCTGTGCTTTGACCAGGCCTAGCGGGCTCTCGCTTGCTCACAGGGTGATGGATGCAGAGAAGGGGAGGAGGCTGCGTGCAGTCTGGCCCCACACCCTCCTGGTCCCTAGGTGGCTGGATCTTAGGTGGGGAGAGAGAAGGGGCCCAGCCACGAAGGTAGTCTTGGTGAAAAAGACCCTCCCTCCTTCCTGGGCTCCAGGGGCTCAGGGTGATGGGTGAGGGGGTGGCAGGACCCTCTTCTACCCCAGCCTGCCCACAGCTCTCACCTTCAGCATCTCCAGTACCAAAGACTTCTCGTCATCCCTCATCTCCCGCACCGACAGGCCAGGGGCCATGGTGCCCCCCGGGCCCAGGCCCAGCGCCCCTGAGGGAGCAGGCGCGTACCTGAGGAACACAAGGCTGTCAGCCCCCGCCTGCTCCAAGGGCGGGGTCCATTTCATTAGTGACCCGGTCCGGACCCCAGACTCCACGATGTCGGGTCCCGGCCCCTACCCAAAGCGAGGCACAGGACAGGCCAGGTTTCCCATCCATCCAGTGACCCTTTCTTTTCCCAGGGATCCCGCCCAGCCCCCTCCCCCGGGGCTGCTCAGCGATCTGCCCTAAATGTCCTGCGGGTACCCACACCTCGTACCCCTGGGCAACCTCCCAGGTGCCAGGGCCTCCCTGTGGATTTGTTTCTCTCCACCCCCCTCCCTGGACAGCGCCTAGGAGAGAGAACCTGCCAAGCGCCTCTGCAGGGTCGCTGCGATCCTTTGACAGCCTGCAGGGGGTTGGGGGGGGGGGCTGGGTCTGGAAGGGGTCGCCGGCGGAAGTGACGAGAACTCGAGCAGGAGGGGGGGATAGTGGGTGGTGCCTGACTCGCCTTAGCAACGGTTGCCAAGCATCCAAATGTGGGAGGGTGTGGGGAGGGGCAGAGTCAGGGAGTGATTATATTGCCAGGAAAAATGTGTGTGTCTGTGTGTAGGGGTGGTGGTGTCTCTTTGGTCCCCAAAGAGATGGAGCAATCGGGGTGTAGGGTGGGTCTGGGGATGAGTCAAGGTCCGCAGGATGGGACGCAGTGGTGCGGTGAGGGAGGCTCACCAGGCACTTGGAGGATGGGCACTCGCTCACTTACCAAGGTTCCCTTGTTGCTAGGCAACGTGAGCGCCTGTGTGCGTGCGTAGAGAGAAGGGTGGCAGAGGATAGATTCTCTCTGGCTGTGGCACTCTTCCCAGGAAGGGGCCAGAGTAGCCATCAGCATCCAGGGGTCTCTGAGCAGGTAGTCCCTTAGGGTGAGAATCCCCATCCACCCCTTTTCAGAGCAGGGGCCACCCTCTTCTAAGGACAGGGAAACGGACCCCACATCCAAGTGACTGGCTCTGGACCGGGGAGCCAGAGCTAGAGTCCCAGTTCTGATCCTGATACTCCTCCTCCTGCCCCAAGCCCACGACCCCAATTAAAGTAAAGCGAAGGAGATTCTGGGCCTTGGTTTTTATTAGCAGACTCAGTCTGCAGTCTCCCGTGCCCAGGTAGGACCCAGTTGCTATGAGACAAGAGGTACCCGGCGGCCCTCAGAACGTGTGCACCAGCTGGACCGTGGGCAGAGTCTGCACGATCTGGATGGAGGGCAGGCCTTGCTGGGCCCCGGCCCCCACACTGGCTGGGACCACCTGGACCATCTGGGGGGTGGGTGCTGTGGGGAAACCTCCAGGGGCAGAGGCCGGTCCAGCCACAGGTGGGGCCAAGAGCTGCAACGTGGCACTGCCAGCCCCGACACTGCCCGTCTCTAGAAGCTCCGTGGTCGGGGCACTGCGGATGATGAGAAGTTTCTGTCCAGGTGGGCCAGGGGCAGGAGGCTCTGCCAACCCAGCAGGGAGGGTCTCCACCTCCTGTACGCACAAGCGTGTCTGCTCGCCATCCACCCCGCTGAGCACCAGGACGCTCTGCAGCCCCTCGTCCGTCTGCAACGTCTCAAAGTGCACGTCCTGGACCACGCCGGCGCTGGCCTCGCCGTCCCCCGCCTCTCCCTGGCCAGGGCCCGGGAGCAGTTCCTCTCCTGTCCCACTCTGAACCACCAGCAGGTTAGTTGGGGCCTCAGTAGTCACACTGCCCCCACTGGGACCAGACAGCTGGCTCGTCACGGGCTGCAGCTGGACTGTGGTCACTTCCTGGGCCGGCTGTAGCTGGACTGTGGTCACTTCCTGGGCCGGTTGCAGCTGGACGGTGGTCACTTCCTGTGCCGGTTGCAGCTGGACGGTGGTCACTTCCTGTGCCGGTTGCAGCTGGACGGTAGTCACTTCCTGTGCCGGCTGCAGCTGGACTGTGGTCACTTCCTGTGCCGGTTGCAGCTGGACTGTGGTCACTTCCTGGGCAGACCGAAGGGGCTGCAACTGAACACCACTCACTTCCTGTGTCCCTGTATCTCCAGCCCCCACATTCTGCAAAACTATGAGGCTCTGCCCTGCCCCACTGGCCCCAGAGCCATCCCCTCCCTGCATCCTCAGACCCCCAGGTCCCGGCAACCAGACTACACCAGGCGCCTGTCTAATCTTCCCCACGGCCTGTGGGCCCTGCCTTGCCCTGCCACAACCTCCGCTAGCACTGGGGGGAGGCAGCAGGATGAGTTTTGGGGGCACGGGTGGGGGAGGTGGAGTGGGGGACTGGACACTGCTGGGGATCAGCTGGAGGCCCTGGGCCGTCTGCAGCAAAAGGAAAGTCTGGGAGTTGGGGGCTGCAGGGCCCAGGGGTGGGGCCTGGCCTGTGCCCCCGGCCACCTCCAAGGAAAGCGTGGCCTGCAGGTGCGGAAGGACGTGGACATCTTGGGTAGCAGGTGGGACCGGCGCGGCAGCCAGAGGGGCCGGAGCCTGGGGACCAGCAGGGCCGGCAGCTGAGTTGGCGGGGGCGTGCGTCCTCAGGTGGCGCTGCAGGTATGCGGCCATGACGAAGCCACGGCCACAGATGGGGCAGGTAAAGGGGCGCTCAGCAGAGTGCGTGCGCTGGTGTAGCAGCAAGTTGGAGGAGTGCGTGAAGGTCTTGGGGCAGAGCGCACAGCGGAAGGGTCGCTCGCCCGTGTGCACACGCTGATGCTGCCGCAGGTTGGAGGTCTGCGCGAAGCTCTTGCCGCACACGCCACATGCGTGAGGCCGTTCCCCTGTGTGAACGTGCCTATGTCTCCGCAGGCACGAAGTGTTGCGGAAGGCTTTTCCGCACTCGCTGCAGGCGTAGGGCCGTTCCCCGGAGTGCAGCCGCAGGTGGTACTGGTAGTGTGAGGACCACTTGAAGGTGAGGCCACACTGGCCGCAGGTGAAGGCGCGGAGGCCCGTGTGCACACGCTGGTGGATGGCTAGCAGCGATGAGCGTTTGAAGGCCTTGCCGCACTCGCCGCACTGGTAGGGCCGCTCGCCAGTGTGGTCCCGCAGGTGGTAACGAAGGCCAGATGAGCCCTTGAAGGCCTTGCCGCACTCGCCGCACTTGTAAGGCCGCTCGGTGGAGGCGGCGGCGGGGGTAGGGGGTGGCGGTGGTGGTACAGGCTCCTGTGGGCAAGTGACCTCGGCTGCCTCAGCTTGTGGGGGCGGGCGCCCAGCCGCTGCCTCCTCCACGTGGCACTGCTGGTGCGCCAGGAGGCTAGCCAGCTGCGGGAAGGCCCCGTCACAGCTGCCGCAGCGGAAGGCCTGGCCACCAGCTGCACCATGGCTGTGCTGGTGGCGCGAGAGGCCCGCTCCCGTCCGGAAAGACTTGCCGCAGGGCAGGCAGGCAAAGCCCGGGGCCGCGGCTGTAGTGGGAGGTGTGGGGGACGGTGGGGATGGCAGGGGTGAGGGCGGGGCCAGCTCCGGAGGCGGCGGGGGGTCAGGCTGGGGGGTAGAAGAGGTTGGGGGCACCGTCTCAGGCCCGGGACATGGCTGGTGCTGCACCAATAGCTCCTCGCTGCCGAAGCCCAGCTCGCAGCCGTCACAGCGGAATACCAGCTCCACCGTGGTCTCAGCAGCAGCTAGGAAGAGCTCAGGGACTACCGGTGGGGGCGCAGGAGCCGGCGGGGGCCCTGTTGGGCCGTGGGACTGTAGGTGACGCTGTAGGTAGGCATCGGAGACAAAGACTTTCCCGCAGGGCTCACATTGGTGCTGGGGGGCGGGGGCGGCCGGGGCTGCGGTGACCGCGGCCCCGTGCGTCCGCTGGTGCAGTAGCAAGTTGGAGGAGTGCGTGAAGGTCTTGGGGCAGAGCGCGCAGCGGAAGGGCCGCTCGCCGGTGTGCACGCGCTGATGCTGCCGCAGGTTGGTGCTCTGCGTGAAGCTCTTGCCGCACACGCCACAAGTGTAGGGCCGCTCGCCCGTGTGCACGTGCCGGTGGCGCCGCAGGCTAGATGAATTTTTGAAGGCCTTGGGGCAGTCCAGGCACAGGTAGGGCCGCTCGCCCGTGTGCTGGCGCAGGTGGTACTGGTAGTGGGAAGACCACTTGAAAGCCAGGCCACACTGGCCGCAGGTGAAGGCCCGCAGGCCGGTGTGCACACTGCGGTGGATCTGCAGGAGCGATGAGCGTTTGAAGGCCTTGGGGCAGTCAGGGCACTGATAGGGCCGCTCTCCCGTGTGACCACGTTGGTGGTAGAGGAGGGCTGAGGAGCCCTTGAAGGCCTTGGGGCAGTCGGGGCACTTGTAAGGCCGCTCGCCTGTGTGTGTTCTCTGGTGGTGCAGGAGCCGTGAAGACCAGCGGAAGGCCTTGCCGCACTCGCCACACTCGTACTGCGCCACCGGGGCTGGGGCAGCGGGGCCAGGCTTGTCGCCAGCGCCCTCGGAGGTGGAGGCGGGCGCCATGTCCGCGTGTGAGCCGACCATCACACCTGGGGAGCGGGATGGGTCAGAGCGGGTGCTAGTTCTTTCAGAGCAAAGTGCCCTCCCTATGCGCCCAGACCTGGAGGACCCTCTCTTATGGATAAGGCTGCTCAGCATCCAGAAAAATCTGGGACAAATATGGATACCAGCTTGCAGAGTCAGCCTTGCTAGGATCTCGTGAACCACCTCTAGGGGCCTTGATAAGGTCAAAGATTTCTTTTTGACTGCTAGTCTGGACTCATGGTGTGGCACTGTAGGATCAGCACTGGACTGAGAACTACAAGGTGGGCAGTTCAAACCCACCAGCTGCTCCTTGGAAACCCTGTGAGTCAGAACCAACTCGACAGCACTTAACAGCAGTGGGTTGCATGTTGGGTTGCTAACTGCAATGTCAGTAGTTTGAATCCATCCACCCCCTCTGGAGAAAAATGTGGCTTTCAGCTTCTGTAAAGATTTACAGCCTAGGTCTTAGACCGTACTACAGCATTGCTGAGTGGGAGCCAGCTCGGCAGCACCAGTAGGTTTATAGGCGCTGCAACCCTATAGAGGGGCCCTATGAGTCAGAATCAACTCCATGGCAGTGGGTTTGGCTTTTGCATCTGGGTCCCCGCCAAAAGGTAAGCATTGTCCAAGTGGACAGAGAAAGGCCCCGAGGTGGAGCCAACGGTCCCCGATTGAGTGCTTTATCTAAAGACCGGCAGTGGGAAGCCACTCAGTGGCACTGCAGAAGGTGAGGCTGGCACACAGCGCAGCTAAGCGAGCTCTCAGGAGCCCTTCTACTCTATCACCACACACGGTGGGAGCCTCAAGTCGGAGTCTACTGGACTGTAACTGGCAGGCCTGGGATTTACTGGTTGGTTTACAGAGGGGGAGGGGGTCTTTTTTCATTACCTTGATCCCTTCCTTCCTCAAGAGAGCTTGCCCTCACTGGTCTCGGCTGAAGGCTCCTGACCCCACCCAAAGCCTTTGCTCACTATAGCTGAAGCCCTTCACAGTCCTTACGGGCGACCCCACTCTGATCCAGAGTCATTTTCTGACTGTACTTATTTACAGAAGGAGCCCTGGTGGTAAAGTGGCTAAGCATTCGGTTGCTAACTGGAAAGCCAGCGGTTTGAACCCACTAGCCGTGACAGTCGGCTTCTGTAAAGGCCTGCAGCCGTGGACAGCTTACAGGGTAGCTCTATGCGGCCTTTACTGTGAGCAGGACATGACGCCAAGGCAAGGAGTTTACCTTTTACGGCAGCATATTGCCAGGCATTTCTTGTGTGACATCACTAGTGGATTCCAATCGCAAATCTTTCGATTAGTAAACCCAAACCAACCCCAACCCCAACCAAACCCAAACCAACCCCAACCCAAACCCAACCCCAACCAACCCCAAACCAACCCCAACCCTAACCCCAACCCCAACCCTAACCAACCCCAACCCTAACCCCAACCCCAACCCTAACCCCAACCAAACCCAAACCCCAACCAAACCCAAACCCCAACCAACCCAAACCCAAACCCAAACCCCAACCCAAACCCAAACCCACTGCCATGGAATTGATCCTGAGTTCCTTGTAAGGTTTCCAACAGAGCAGAAAGCCTTACCTTCCTCCTGTGAAGCGGCTGGCAGGCTTGAAGTGACAGTCTTGCTGTTAGCAGTCCAGTGCTTATCCTGCAGCACCGGTAAATTAGTTGTTGTTAACTGCCAAGTCGGTTCCGACCCATAGCGACCCTGTATAAGGTTTCCAAGGAGACACTGGTGAGCTTGAACTGCCAACCTTGCAGTTCAAACGCCTTTGCAGTTTAACGCATTAACCTATGGCGCATCACACTACCTTCTTACCCAACATAAATGTCTTGGGTCACCATCATAACTGCTCCCTTGCATAAAACACTAGCCAGTGGTAGAGGGGCAAAATTTGGGCCTGCTCCATTCACATGCACCCCACCCCTACGGACCACCAGCTGGCTTGGTTCTTCTTCTTCTTCAGCCTTCAATTCCTCCTGGCTGCCTGGCCCTTGGTTGTTGTTGTTATGTGCCGTTGAGTCAGTTCTGACCCATAGCGACCCTGAACAGGGTTTCCGAGGCTATAAATCTTTATGGGAGCAGAAAGCCTCATCTTTCTCCCGCGGAGCAGCTGGTAGTTTTGAACTGCTGACCTTGTGGTTTGTAGCACAGTTCGTAACCACTACGCTACCAGAGGCCCTTGGTTAGTTCACTCCAAAAATAAATAAAAGCGTTCACAAGAGATCCTGCAACTCAACCGCCCCTACCCCAGTGGGTCTAGACCAGGGACTCATGGCCATGTCTGGACACAATTTTGACTGTTCTGGTGTAGCGCTGTAGGATAACGCACTAGACCACAAAGTCAGTTTGAACCACAAGGCCAGCATTTCCAACTCACCAGCCGTTCCGTGGAAACCCTATACAGGGTCGCCCTAGTCAAAAACGACTCCAAAGCATGGAACAGTCAAGGGGTGAAGGGTGCTGGCACCCAGTGGGTGGGGCCAATGGATATGGCTCCACCCACTCCACATACATAACAAATAAAAACCAGTTCCTTGGGCTAAGACTCGGAAGTCAGTAGGGCCCAGGTAGAGGGCGCAGCCACCCGCCCGCCTCGGTGCCAAGGCTCTGACTTCCTCCAATGAACACACAGTTGGGCCCGGCCGATAGCCACGGTCTCAGATGCCCTCGGTCGGGCTAACTTCCAAAGTTGCTTCTACAGTCTTCTGGACAGCCCAGATCAGCACACCCACCAGCTCCATCTCCCAATTGGAGTCCACTTCTGCCGGCTCAGTGGCCCAGTTCTCCGCCCCTTTACGGCAAAGCACCCCCCACACCTGATCCCTCCGCCATCTCCCCTCTGCACCGAGCCGCTTCCATTGGCCGTGTGTCCCCAGCATGCCACCTTCCTACTTCTGTCAGGGTCACCAATGACCTCTGTGGGGATAAGTCTGGAGGTCGTGGCCCTTCCCTGGGCTTCCAGGACCCCACCATCTTGGCTGTCTTTCCCCCGCTCTCGTCCTGTCCTGACTGGGGGTGTCAGCCCAGAAACTCATCCTTCAGCACACCCTCTCCTTGAGCAAGATCGTCATTCTCAGGACGTTAAATACCGACCGCCATGAGGTTCCTTTCAAATACACGTGACACACATATGCTAAAACATGTGACATGGCAATCGATGAGATGAACCGTCACCCCTGGAAATCTCTGCCCAATTCACAAGAAAACAACGCTGTTGTTGTGTGTGATCTAGTCAATTCCAGGCCAGAGGAGAACTAGTGCACAGAGTTTCCTAGACTGTAACAGACCCCCAACGAGATGGACTGGCACAGTGAGTGGAGCAACAGTGGGCTCAGGCAATCGTGAGGAGACCGCAGGACCGGGAGGTATTTCCGCTCTGAGCTCTGAGTCGGAACCGAGTCCATGGTGCTTAACAACAGCAACTACATATTCAGCGTCTCTCAAACTCAGCAAGGAACCTTGTCGCGTGGAAGCGTAAGCATTGGCCTGCTAACCTCAAGGTCAGTGGATCAGGCTCACCAGCAGTTCCCCAAGAGAAAGAGGTGACTTGTAAAGATTTAGTCTTGGAAACTCTATGGGGAGTTCTACTCTGTCTATTGGGGTTTTCTCAACTTCACCACTATTAATATTTAGGGATGGATGATTCTCCACTGTGGGGGCTATCCTATGCATTGTGAGTGTTTAGTAGCGCTTCTGGCCTCCACCCACTAGATGCCAATGCATGCCACCACCACCTGTGTACTTGTGAGGACCACAAGATGTCTGTGGGCACTGGCAAACTGGCCCTTGCCTACATGTACCCTCCAAGGGAGCAAACTGGTCCCCACTGAAGACCACTGCTATATATAATACATGGTCTACATATAGATAATACACTGCTATATATAATACGTTGTTAAGTGCCATTAAGACATTCTGACTGATAGCAACCGTGCATAGGGTTTCTAAGGACTGACTAGTGGGTTTGAACCACCAACTTTGTAGCTCAAACTGACTTTACAGTCCAGCTCATTATCCTGAAGTGCTATGTTCCCTTTTTTATGATCTGCCTCCCCAAAGAGGGGACCTCTGTCTGGTTCACTGTGGTACCCCAGCATCTGGACTGGCAGACAGAGCAATGTACAATAACCAATGCTGAATAAACAAAGGCTAGAAATACTCTTTGACAGGCTACAGGCACTTCCTCTGAAAAGTCCTTGCGTGATGCACACATTGAATACATTTGGCTACTCACCAAAAGGGTGAAGGTTCGAGTCCACCCGGGGTGTGTTGGAAGAAAGGCCTGGTGATCTGCTTCCAAAAAAATCAGTCACTGAAAACCCTCTGTAGGGCATTTCTACTCTGATAAGCATAGGGGTGGTGTGAGTCCAAATCCAGACCCACAGCGATAGGTTACTAATTGAAATGATCCATGTTCCCTTCATCACGTAAACAAGGCCTTTTAAGAGAGAAATTATCCCAAGAAGCTACACCTACTTTTGAGTAGGCCTGACATGACATGGGCTTCAACAAAAGACCCATGCCCCAAGAGTGCCTGGACCCAGCTCAGAACACGGTTGCACAAAACCAAAAATAATTTGCTGGTTGAGTGGATTATTACTCATGACGCCCCCATGTGTGAGAGTGCAGAACTGTGCTCACAGGGTTTGCAATAACTGTTTTTTCGGCAAGCAGATCTCCAAGCCTTTCTTCCGAGGCTCCTCTGAATGGACTTGACCATCTAATTTTTGGTGAGCAGTCCAGCGTATCCACCTTTTGCGCTTTCTAATCCTGGACCACACCCTTTCACCCGGTTGCACGTCCCCTTTAAGAGTATGTAACCCCAGCACACCATCTCCACATTCACTGAGCATTGCTGGGGCGCAATAGAGATCCAGTTTTCCTTCATTAACGAGTCTAGGAAACGGTTCCTCCTTATTAAGGAAAAACAGGGGATGAGAGGGCACACATAGCTACAAAAAAGCTGTCAAATAAAACAGCGAGCCCC